TTTTATCCATTTACAGTTACATTCGAAAGTCCACAAAACAAGTTGGGTCAAGTTTGTATACAAGACAAAATGTGCAGCTTGTGAGAAACTGGGAAGCGTAAACTCTTCTGTCCTGAAGACGTCGGAAAGCATAAAGTTACAGCTTTACCTCGTTTACAAAGCGCTGCCACTGGAGACTCCTTCCTATAAACACTAAATAAACGTCCCCTTAAAGAACGTTTCACTACATCAATGATTATATGGTTTAGGTTATGTGGAGCGTCCACCATACAAGTCCCTGTGCAAGGTGTTGCTATAGAAACAATAACATGTCAGATCAAGTGCATTAATATTTTACTGTGATTTGAGTTAGAGCTGGTACTACTGTCAGAGCTGCTGTTATCTGACCAATCAGATTTGAGAATTCAGCAGCACTGTGGTATAATAGACTGTCTTTGGTCCTGGCACTATAAATTAACTATTTACGTATTTACAAAACAGTCAAAGCAGCTGTAGTTGATTGTGATGGAAAAGCATTTGATTTTGTTCTCCTTTTAGGATGAAGACACACTCAAGGAGGTTTGTGAGCAGATACTGAAACAGTGGACCGACTGCTGCTCTCGAACCGCAGCCACCAGCAATCAGCCGGAGGGTAAGCTGAAACATTTCAAACTTTAACTGATCTGACTCCAGAGACGGTTCTCTGTTTGAAATATGACAGAGGCAGCACATTACACTCAACATGGCGGCTGTATTGCTTAAGTCCTGCCCCTCCAGTAAAAATCGTCTTGTTGGTTAAGATGTTAGAGAAAACGCCTGGCCTATCAGATTCTTACACTGAACCTGAGAAAAGCTTTTTTGGTGTGTGTTATTCGCAATTGGTTCTTAAACTTGGAATCATGACCCCACATGAGGTCATCTGAGACTTTTACCAACTGTTATTTGTAATGTGCACTATATGGCCAAAAGTTTGTGGACTCCTGACCATCACTCCCATATGTGTGCCTTCACTGAACTGTTGAGTGAGAGAGAGAGTGAGAGAGAGAGTGAGAGAGAGAGTGAGAGAGAGAGTGAGAGAGAGAGTGAGAGAGAGAGTGAGAGAGAGAGTGAGAGAGAGAGTGAGGGAATGACAGTTTATCGCAGCTATAACGTAAGTTAATACAGGAACTAACTTGTCACTCGGATGTTCCAAAACATTAAACCTAACTATAAACCATTCAAATGTGCGACATGTCATTTCATTAATAAATTAAACATTGTAATTGTTTGCAAATAGCCGTGATATAAGCGGAATAACACGCTCCAGACCGTGCTGTTTTACGAAAACAATACACTTCGGGGTGGTAGCGGCACTCTACTTGCACGTTGTGCCGCATCACACCACCCCAGCATGCATTATTTTCATATAACAGCACGGTCTGTCGTGTTATTTCTTACATATCAGAATCTGTAAATGTACGTATCCAACAAAGGAATTTATCTCGATGCATTCATTCAACATGGAGCAATCACGCAATGCACACATAAAACGTGTGCTGTTCCATTTAATCAGTGTTATCCAGAATTCAAACAGATGCAACACATCTGCATGGTTTAAGCATTCCAGCGTTCAAAGAACACTTCTTCAGACTCGTTTCATAAAAGCCTTTGGCAGGAACATGGCAACTGCAATGATAAAAGGTGGGACGGTGAATAAACAGCTGTTTGTTTGTATTCAAATTCCTCACTGTGTTATAGCTTAGAGTGCATACAAAGTGGAAGTGTGTGTGTGTGTTTTAAATGGATCTCTCTGAAGTTTATGCTTCATCAACACACCCATGACTTGAGAGTATAAAAAAACAGCAGGACAGATGGAGTCTTATTTTGACAGATGGGAGTCTCACACACACACACACACACACACACACACAAACCACAAAACCTTGAAATGTTGGTTAAAAAGGAAACGCATCTGGACCTGGAAAATGATCTCGTGGTCTGATTCTTTGGTCCTCTTGTCTCTTTGTCCTTCTAGATGAGGTTCAGGCCATCGCCAGTCTGATTGAGAAGCAGGCTCAGATTGTGGTCAAGCAGAAGGAAGTGTCCGAGGAGGCCAAGAGGAGGAAAGAAGCGCTGCTCGCGCAGTACGCAAACGTGACGGACGAGGAAGAATATCCTTACTCACTTTAACTTGTGCTCAGTGGAAAGAGAAAATCTGATGGATGTCATTGCAAGTGTTTGAACATGTGCAGTACAACTTGTTTCTCTCCAGTTCCTTGCGTTTTGATTCTTAACGTTGACACTGAAGTGGAGGACGAGGAGGAAGCGGCAGGAGCTGTGGGAATCCCCAGCGACAAGTGTATCCTTTTCTCGCTCTTGCAATCTGATGAGATTTAAAAAAAAAAAATTTCCTCTGTATGAAAATGCTAGACACAGGATTCAAACAGAGGATTAGGCATCATAAAGGTTTCAGGCTTTGTTTTAATTCCTGTGTTTATGATTATCCACAAGCTATAAATCTTGTGCTTACAAGATGTAGATGGTTAAATAAAGGTAATTAAAGTAATACCAGGTAAAGGCTGCTGGACCCCCCCCCCCCCGTCCATCCACCCCAGATCCTGAACATGCAGACCATGACTGATTCACTTCCCATCTCTTAAAAGCCAAACATCAGTCAGCTTTTGAAGTCCACTGATCTGGGGATTAGCCATATTGGTGTTGCATGGCATTACCATCCTTTACTGCTGGCCTCAGCCCTGTTTAAGAACACCAACGTGGAGGACGTGATGAACCGGCGCCGGCAGCAGCGTGAGCAGGCCAAGGAGGACGCGCAGAAGAAGAAGGAGCAGGACAAGATGCAGCGTGAGAAGGACAAGCTCGCCAAGCAGGAGCGCAAAGACAGAGAGAAGAAGCGTACACAGAAGGGCGAGCGAAAGAGATAGACGAGGAAATCGATTACGGACTAAAATGCTGAAGACGAGAGACAAGTGACACCTCTATGGACTGTGTTCTGGTGGAACTTTTGGGGGTTTTTGTTTGTTTGCTTGTTTTTTTTTTTTCTTTTAATAAACAGGGTTTCAGATCTCAGCACCACTCCTTTAGCCCTTTGTACTGCTCACTGCGGTGTGTATCCCTGCTGGAAAAGACACACGCATGAGAACATTTTGGCATCTATTAAAAGTTGTATTAATGATGTGCAGGTGAGTTTTGGGAGACACTTTTAAACACTGCTGCTCTGCTCAGACTGTCTCCTATTAGGTAACACACAGCTGTGGCAGAATACATGTTCTGTTAAACAATTCAAATGGTTTTTTCCTTTTTTTTTTTTTTTTTTTTTTTTTTTATTCAGATGCCAAAATGTCCTTCTGAGTGTAGCGTAACTTGAGAATGTAATTATGTAATCCATTTCTCATGAACATGTGACTACAGCTTATTCTTTCAGCCTAATCTAGTGCGTCTGTCGTGTACAGATGATAATAATAACCTTGGACAAAAAAAATTCACCACATTTTCCAGTTGATTGAGTCTAAGGGCAGTCGATGAATTCAGCCAATAAAAGCTACTCATCGAGATGAGACAGATGTGAAATAAAGTCTCACAGAAGCTGTTCTTACGGAGTTCTGTTCAACTTTTCCAACACTGCAGCAATACAGTAAAAAAGGAAATCCTGAAATCCTGTTATTTCTCCCTTTGTGGTTATCCTTGCATGATCAGACTTACAGAACTTTTCTAATTCAATCTCTAAAGATGTAGCTCTTATAAGGATCTTCAAGTTCTCTGTTTGTTTCTTCTCAGTACATGGAAACGTGATCCTAGAGATGCAGTAGATACGATGCTTAGAATTCCTTTAAGAGACTTTTGAAATACACATGAAGTGAGCGCATAAATTTAGTTTTTTACATTATTGCATTTTTGGGCTTTGTGGAAAAATATTAGCCTTTTTTTCTTTCAAACTTTATGCTGCTCTTTAAGTAATTCTGTCATAAAGCTCATGCACGTGTGATTGTTAAAGCTGTTCAGTGAGGATAATTGTCATTCTTTAACAATCTCACTAACACACACTGGTGGTCTTTGCTTTCAGTTAACAAGCCTTTAGGAAATAACTTGAAACACTTTGCAAGCCTTCTTTTCATGTAGCAATACAGAGTTCACCAAAAACATTACATACAAAAAGGATACAAGGGGACTTGGTAGGTTTTGTTGCTTCTCACATGTATTTTTGTTGTAATATTTAATCTCTCTGTTGTACCTGGTAGAGACAGACACAAGCAGTGCATCAGAGATTTTTTTTTTCATTTCCTCATGGCAGTCCAAACATTACAGGCTTCTACTCAGAACAGCTTTTATATTCATGACTTATGAAATTTACTGAGATTTGTTTCAAGAAGTCTTTGTAATTTCAGGCAAATAAAGGAACATACTAGTGCTCTAAACATTGTGTAATATAATCTGAATTTAAAATTTTAATTAACGTTTCTGTGTACAATCAGGTGAAAATATTTCACTTGTTTGTGTCTAATCTCTGAAAGGATGAATTATGTTAGCAATAGCACATCACAGACAGTGCAGTTAGACAAAAATAATAATTTGGAGTAATACCACCTCAAATGCATTATTTTCTCCTGTAACAGCGGTCTGGAGTGTGTTATTCCACTTATAGCACAGCGATTTACCAACGATTACAATGTCTAATTTATTTATGAATGACATGTCGCACATTTTAATGGTTTATAGTTAGACTTAATGTTCTAAAACATCCGCAAGGCAAATTAGTTCGCACACCAGCATCTCTCTCTCTCTCTCAAAAAAAAAAAAGCCAGCTTGTCATTTCACCAATAAACTGCAGAGCGTACACTCCTCTTTCCTGAAGACTTTGCTGGTAAACTTTGCAAAGCACTGTGACTGTTACAAAGTGCTGACACTAGAGACTCCTTCCATAAATGTGAAATAAACGTCTCAGAACAAAAATGTTATCTCAACACTGATACTTTTTTCTTTTTTTTTTAACTTTTTTTAAAAATCTGTTTATTATGAGCCTTAGGGGCACGATGGCTTAGTGGTCAGCACGTTTGCCTCACATCTTCAGGGTTGGGGGTTCAGTTCCCACTTCTGCCGTGTGTGTGTGTGTGTGTGGAGTTTGCTACACCCTGTGTAGGATAAGCGGTACAGAGAAATGGATGGATGAGTCTTAGATTATGTAGTGCTTCTGCTATACAAGTCCTTGGGTATGAGCTGTTACTGTAGAAATGAAAACATATTAGAGCTGTTTTAGACATCTCTCATTGTCTCTTAACTGTGAAAAATGTTTTCAGTAAAGTAACATTAGAACAAAGACACTTTGCAATTACATTTGATTGTTTTTGTTCTTCCAAACTTTGGAAGACACGTTGTTTAGTCTGATGTTTGTTTGATCGTTGACTTATTCCTACGTTCACAATTAGGTTTAATGGAGTTGACATCTTGTGAGCCTCTCTGCTTTACCCCACTGTGTGTGCTGTATTACAACAATTACATTTTAATACCTTTGCAAATAACTATAAAACAGCCATTTTTAAGCATCAGCTTGGGTTTCTGTTCTTTTATTGTTCTACAGTGTGTTCATTAATAACGAAAAAGAGGTGCAATGAAACGTTAATCGGAAACAGAAACATTAAAATTGTCATTAGAACAATGACAGTCCCTGGCACATCATTATCCGTTCACGCAGAGGTCATCATTCTTCCCAGGTCTTCGGAGGGATTCGGTCTCTATTAACTTCAAATAAACAGAAATCTGATTCAACAAGATTGTTAATACTGAAAGAGATCCGGAGATGTATCCTGACTTGAGATGTTCTGTACTTGAAAACTGACTAGTTTATCATGCCTCCTCATCTCAAGTTAGAACACTGCTTATTGAAAATAAATAAACTAAAACAATTAACAAAAAGAATCTCAGAGAGAAAATACTTTACAATTATGATTGTTCGAAACCAAATGCTGCAACGTAACCATGTTGCAATAAATAGGTAAAATACAAGGACATTAAAGTTATAAATATAGCCTGAACTTACAGTTTACTCCCAGGATTTCCGTTTCTTTAAAGCACATTAATCAAACCATCAAAGTCAAACTAATCCAGGATTAATTACTTTTAAAGCTCAACATATTGTGCCTTTTGTTTCCAGTGGGAGTAACTGCTACTAAAATCTCAGGTCAAGAGGGTGACAATCTCGTTATTCTTCAAACTCGCTGACCTTCACATTCTTTTCCAATGATCACTTTTTTTCGACACATAAAACGTCCCTGTTCTTTTCTGTTTCTGGATCTTGTCCCACACTAACTCTTCCACTTCTCACTCCAGCTCTTCTGATCCATCTTTCTCTTTCTCTCTGCTCTCTGTCCTTAAGCATTCTGTCCACAAGAGACATGCGGCGTTTCGAAATCCACCGACCAAACAGCTCGGCAATACTTTCCGCCCACTATCCTTTGGAAAAGTTGACCATATTCGTATGACCATATATATCATTTGGGATTATTAATAAGACTGATAAATGTTACTGAACTGAGGATTCCATCTATTGCTCCGAACTGAGCCTACTGTATCACTGCAGTCTAATAACTTACACAACAACATTCACTCACTCCACTGAGCACCTCACTGAGCATTCCCTTCAGAATAGCACACACACACACACACACACACACACACGCACAGAGGAACGACTGCCTGGCAGAAAGTCACAGCACATTTTCAAGGACGATCTGGTCAGAACTGTCGTGCGCTAAAACTGAACACATGTTCCCCTCTTCTCTGTCCTCGGCGCTGGTGCTTTTTTTGGGCAGAGTCATCTGCAGAGCGCACCACAGAGCAGTGCAAGACGTCCTGGTGCTCCTGCTCAGGTCCTTCAGTGCAGAGGCCAAAAGCAGGATATCTGTAAAGATACAGAACATATTAGAAAAAAAATACATTAGGAATAAATACACGGATCTAAAGTTCTCTGTCAGCACAACGGACTGATTTTTAATATTGACATATACTTCCAATTTTTTTTCAGGGAGTGGCAGTAATTCACACAGCCAGTGTTTTCCCAACCAACAAGTCCACACCTTGTGACGATTACAGTCACGTTTCTTATTTCTCAGTTACACCTTTGGCGTATGTATACCTACATTCAAACTCGTGTTTGGTCATGGTGAGTGTAAATTTGATTTGCAGATAAATTATTAAAACACAGACCTGCCAATCCTGAGGTAAACAGTAAAATACATAACAGTGCATTTTTGATATACTCTCATATAACTGCACAACTATATAGGTAATGTAGTATAGTGTCCATATGCCATTTGTAAATGTAAATCAGCATGCACACATGTTAATCTTTAATAGCTTATTAGTCCTAGGAGCAAATTTGCATACAAGAACCACCAAAATGCTTTGACCTTGCACAGATGGGTTTCTATAATACGGAGTTAGCAAGTAAATGTCTAACTACCTCTGTCCTCTCTGAGGTTGGCCACGCCCTGCCTCTGTCTACTGCTGTTAAGGAACTCGTCCTTGCGGCGAGCCTGAGTGATGTAGATGGCCTCTAGGTGCCTGTCCAGTGTCGAGCCGATATTAGCATGGAGAGGGAAACTCCGCAAGCGCTCCATCTTCCCCAACAAGCTCACCACCTGGAGGCCACAAATATGCACAAAACAATAGCCATTTTTGCATGATCAGTGTTAAACCTGTAAAACTGGGGTTACATATCATGAATCTACACAAAATAATCCATAATACTGAAGTAGGGAAGGGAATCAAAATAAAATAAAAAGTGTAAAAGTTGTGATTGCATAAGTATTCAGCCTCGTTTTCAGCTTGCTAATGAAATGAAATGCTCTATTTGAAATGAAATGTGTTGCTCTGTTTTACTCCATGGTGGAATAACTGAGAAAAGCTCTTTTTTTTCTTTTTTCTTTCGATTCAATTACAGTCCACAATACAATTTTAATTTAAAACAAAAATTCATTTGGTGGACCAGGTTAGAACCTCATCGGGCCGGTCCTGGCACTCAGGCTTTTTATAGCATAACTTAAAAAAGCCAGAAAGTACACACCTACAAGAGACAAGCGGCAAAATACCCGAAACACTCGTCACTTGCTAAAGAACGTAGAGTAAAAGATTTGGTTTTTTTGCTGGGTTTTTGCTCTGCGGTCCTATTCTAATACTGTCCCCTTCGCATATGCAATCACACACATACACACAGTCTATATGTGTATGCTACTTTCCTGATGGTTCTGATGGTAGGATAATTCCTTAATTACTCTTTTTATTATTACTGATTATACATAATTTTAATGTAACTGTGACAATCCCAGAGGTGAACAATATAAGTCTGCTACACATTTATCACTATCACAGTTTCATTTGTAAATGATTTGCGGGCTGACCTTGGCTTGCTCTCGAAACTGGTCCACTATAAGCTTGTCCACTCTGGTGGGGTTGAGAGGCAGCTTGGGCACAGAGTTACTGTTCATCACAGATATACACTTGCCTGGGAAGCTCTTTAGCAGGGTAGCTTCTGCCTATCAAGGAATAAGAAGGGAATACATACATTTATTTAAAAGAGAAGTGTCTAAGAGAAGTGTTTTATGACTTCTTCAAGGCTGAACCTCTGGGTCCAAGTAATCAACCCTAAACACGGAGTTTTGTGATAATTAAAACACAAGTTGTTCATTTACAGATTTACAAATTATTTTAATATTATTATATGTTAGGTCAGCTGAAATTCATTCAGCAAATTATACTGTCACTCCAGAACATTTCCTGACTGTGTTTTATTTACATTCACACATTTTATAAAATTTCAAAAACTTGCAGTGCTACACTTACCTTCTTTCTCTCTTTCTCCAAAACTCTCCACTGTTCATAGCACTCTTCCAGATAATAGTGTAGCTGGCTCATAGGGCCACCATGACTGTTGCTTTGGTTGGATGACCTCAGGTTGGAGATTAACCCAGGAAAGGGCCCGTCTCCTCCAGCTAGGTTCGGCCCCAACATCTCCTGCAGGTAGGGGTTTAGGGCGGGGAATTCCGCATCTGGCCGTAGTTCACTCAGATCCACTACAGGCACAGAGCCACCGTAGGTCAGCGGGGATCGGGAAGGGAACATTTGGCATGGGTTCTGTCCAGAAACTCCCATCTGGTACAAGCAAGGAAACATCTGGGATGGTGCAGGTTTGGCTCCATTGTGTCTGGCCTGACCCGCATACATATTGCTTAGAATCCGATATGGGTTTTGCAGGAGACCTTTTTTCTTGTCTGCCTCTTTGAGAAAGCCAGCTGCGGATTTAGATTTTACTCCAAAACGCAGAGAGGGGTGCGCATCAGCTACAAAGCCTGTGGCCGACGGTGTCTGCAACCTGCCCATCTCTGATTGTAGGTCAAAGTCTCCTCTGTCTACAGTGCCTCCTATCTTACCCAGGCCCTCCAGACCCAAACCCAGGCCCACGCGACCCATCCTCCCATCGCTCTGCCCAAAATCAGTGAATATTCTAGGTGCAGTCCTCTGCATCTGTTGCTGGGACAGAACAGGAACAAACTCAGCCACAGACTGAGACATGAATTTAGATGTACCTTGAGGATCAGTGTTGACGCTTGTTTTGGGTGGAGCCTTGGTGTAACAGTGGTACTGGTTTGACTGCCCATGATGGTACTGATGGAGGCTGGTCTGGAGATTCTTTGCTTCTCTCTGGTTGGCTTCTTTGCTTTGGTGAGTTGAAAAGTTGAACGAGGGTGAGAAGGGTTTAGGAGGTTCAAAATAGTCTGCTGACTGCTGACCAAAATCAGCAAACTCCTTAGTCGTTATATTCCCAACCTCACTATCTCTTTGCTCCCTTGTGATTTCTCTCTTAAGACTTGCAATATGAGCTTCAAACGTGGACATCCTTTGGAGTGGTAGACCCTTCAAATCAATGTTTTCATCCTGAGCTTTCATGGCATTGCTCTGAGCTGATTCTCTATTATACATGCTCTCCTGCTCCCCCATAAGAAGAGCCTCCAAGTTGTTGGCCAGCTTGCTGGCATCCTGCATATAGAATGGTCTGTTCTTTTCAATTTTGGGTCCACTCAATCCAGAAAAATCTTGGTATGAGC